GTTTCAACCCAACGCCCCTTTCCTAGAGATTGTAGGGAATTCTTGGGAGACTCTGTGAGGCTGTAAGTGTGAGACAAGGTCAGTCCCACTCCCCTTTTTCATTCGCGTCTGTGGCTGGAGATTTAGGGCTGCTGAGCTATGTCGCACCGCCTGGCAAAATTCAATTCAAATACGCGCAGGAGCTGAAGCGCTTTTTGGTTGCCTGCCAGCGAACATCGTCTGCGTTTCTGGGCTTCTGCGATTGTACTGGACACGCGGTACTCGTGGACACGAGTGTTTTTTGTCCCAACTAAATGTTTAAAACATAAGCGAGCAATGGGCTAAGGATTGCAGCTGGCACTATGCCTGGGCGGTGCTTTTTTCCTCCTTAAGGAGGGGGAGGTGGAACTAAGGTCACTGGCTAAGACGTTGAAATGGATGGCGATACGAAAAGTGTTTCCCATTGGACTTCAGTTCTGGAGTCAGATTGCTAGCCATTAGATGTAGCAAAAAATATAATGGAGTATTATATTTTACTATTAAATCGCTTAAGCTTGTGAAAACTTAATTAAATTGATTAAGAAATCTACTAAACTGCGGTTTATCTAATGCAACTCTTAGACAAATTTTGAAAATATTAAATATCTTAACAAAGTTCTAAATGGTACTTAAATATTATTGCTTAACAATTTATAGTATACCCTTAAAGTTTACAATTGCATCAGGTATCAACATTTAGAATCAATTTTGTCCTAGTTTTTGTAGGTTAACAAATCTGCATTTTAAGTTTAGAATTTTAAAATTTGAACTGCTTATAAAACATTAAAAAAATGGGAACATCCTCCCAAAAATGGCCAGATCGATTCAGCTGTTGATACTGATCAAGATTATATATGGTTTATAGGGTCGAAAATGAGTTGGAGGCTTTTGACTTAACTGAAAATACCTTTCAAAGGCTTAACTAGGTTATTTGAAATCACAGAAAGCAATCAAGCCAATAGCTAATATTTCTAGCCACTAAATAAATATATACATATATCCCTGCCAACCACCAATCCGACTTTATTTTCTCCATTGTTTCTGCACAACAAAAAAGAGCGCTCGTTTTTTGCGCTATGACATTTTTGATTGCCCCCAAAACATTTTGTGCTTCGCTGTGGCCCACGTCTTTTTAATAAGCTGCCACTTGCAGCGACAACAATTTCGCTGGCAGTGGCAAAAGCCACAACGAGGGGAGAAGCGGAAAAGCGAGGAAAAGCGGTGGAAAAAGGAAGGCAGCCAGGCGAACAGAAGAACTAGGAGTAGGAAAACAGGATGCGAGCGTTGCGGCAGCGGCAGCGACACCGAATTTTGTTTTTGACTTTTTCGATTAAGCGTATGCAGCCACACACAGACCGACACAAATGAATTCTGGGAAAGGAAAACCGTTAGTTGCTTTTCTGTGTGTGACACTTTTCGCGATTTTTTGGCTTTATATTTTCCTTTTTTTCTCTCTCTCCTTTGCTTTGTTTTGTTTGTTTTTTTGGCCCACCACCCCTCGGAAGAACCATCTCTTTGGGAGTTTGCAATGTTTGCGTTTGAGCTTTGAGCAGGGTTTTCCATTCGGCTTCGGTTTCTGCTGCCGCCGCTGCCATTTGGTTCGGTCGTGTCAGTCTAATAAGCAAATTGACTTATTTCCGGTCGCCATGTTGTCTGTTGTCTCAGCTGGCCCAGGCCGCAAACAAAATGGCGTCTCATTAGTCAATGTCGTCTAGGCGGGGGCCCAGAGTCGGCATCTTAATTGCAAAAGGTGTGAAAATCCAAAAGTTTTTTTTTCTGTTTGTTTTTGGCTTTTCCTCCAAGCTCCAAGCTGCGAGCTCTGTTTTTTCTTGTATTTTTTGTTGTATTTTTCGTGCGGCAAAGTTTGCCGTGCTAATGATTGATTGAGCCCTTGATGGATTGCCGCCGCCGGCAGTACGGTTGGGATTTTGGCCGGCGGAAGGGCGGCGGGCACATGTGGCCGGGACTAATTTGATGCCAACAGCTGCACTTGTCATGTGCATTTTCACCTGTTCCACAAGGTACTCTCCTCTCTCTCTGTCTATGGCTGAGAATGTGTGTGTTTTGTTGTCGTCGACTATTACGCTAATAACTTTGGCCTTTTTCGCCGCTGTCCATTTTAAATGCAATCCCCATGTGCAACCGGCAACAAGAGGCACCGCCTCCAAAGGGCCTAACCACCAGCCCCAAGTGTGTGTGTATGTGTGTGTGTGTGTGTATGGGCCCAATGCATTATTTAATAGAACTTTGTTGAACGCCTGATTGCTCGCTGATTACTGATTAGACAAGGCTTGGGGCCAGCTGAGCTGAGCTACCCACCGGCCAAAACAAAAATTAAATTGCTGACACTAATTGGATTGCAGACTGAACTGATATATATTCGATCTATTCGCTGGATCCAATTAAGCTGTCTTGTTCTGTAGGCATTCGAAATGCTAATGATTGGAGGGCAAATCACTTGGACACGAGCCGATAAGTAGACCATTTAAGGACCTAATTTTAATATTATTTGTTTGCTATTCATGATTTGTTAAGGCTCATTTGGGTAACTCCGAGTAGGTTAGCCTTTCATTGAACCTTAATTGATTTATTATTAAGCTTTGTAAAGAAACAAAATAGTACCCACTACTCAAGATCATTGCTCACCTTCTGGCAGAAATGATCTTTTTTAATATAAATACATTTTATCCCTTTATGAGAAGTTGTAATTAAGGCATTATTTTAAAGGCTTAAAAATAATATTAAACATAATTCAATGAATAAGATTACAATATTGATAGCATCCTCAAAGTTAAAGTGTCTTTTCTAGGTGATAATATCTATAACTATCTATGTATACATATGTATAATAACCATATATTCTGATTAAAAAATTATCGACCTATCCCATCGTTTAGTGTTGATCAGGCAACCAAACTAGGTATCAATTAGTCCAACCCCTAATTGGGGCAAACTCTCCTCCTGAGATGTTTTCGCTTCTTTTTTTTTTTTGTTGTTGTTTTGGTTTTGTTTTCTTTTTTTTTGCGGTGGCTTTGCGTTGTTTAATGAGCAGCGGAAAAAAAATGGGAAAAACACAAAACAGACCGCGGCCTGAGCCTACAAGCTGTTAAAATGTTTATGCAGGTGTCATGCCAATGACAGCGCCGTCGAGAAGAGGAGCTGGTATGATGGCGAGAGATGGCCGAGATGGAATAGCAACCGCAATAGCAATCGCCATAACAACAATACCAACAGCAACAACAACACCAACTAGGACTGACGACGGGTCAGGAGAAAAGGTAAAACAAAAAAAAAACGAGGCAAAGAAGACAAAAGGCCAAAAGGCAGCTGGCCTCACTCTTGTTTCGCATCCCCCTGCGGGTTCACCTCGACGATCATCAGCTGCAACAGCTGCCACCGAAGGCCAGATCGGCCAGGTGATTTCCAGGCTGAGTCACCAAGCAGGTCTCTCGGTGCAGTTATCCCCGAGAATTTCGACGATCCTTTGCCAATAATATTGGTATGGGCCATATAATTCCAATCAAGTGTAAAATGGCATATCAGAATATTTATATTGCTATTGACAGGGTTGTTGAGTGAGTGTGAATATATATTGTAATCAGGGGTAATTTAAAATTCTAGAAAAATAACAGAGGATCATGGGGGAAATAAGGAATTTATTTACATTAATTTCTTTAATAAAACATAGCACATAGTACATTTTTAAAATGCATAAAACTTGGCAAAAGTTTATTCTTAATTTGACAGCAAATATGATTTTAAAATGCAAAATCCTTTGCCAACATTTTATAATCATTGTACTAAATAATTTTTATTTGATCACATGTAAATATTATCATTTGCATTATTATTTAATACTTTTGTATTCTCTCAAAAGGTAAAATAAAATACAAAAAAAAACTATATAAAACTAATCTAATACCTTTATGTTATGTTCTTAGCTCTCTTCTCTCCCATTATAAATCCAAACATGTCATAAAGTAAGCCTTTAAATTGCCATTTCCCCCCGTCAACCCTTTCTTTTTTTGCTTAGACCACGACGATAAACAATAAAGTTTCGGCAGGGAAAAAAATGCCCACATCTGGTCATAGGCATGCCTGATTTTTCCGATTCTTTTGGAGGCTGTTGCAGTGGCAGCAGTAGGGTTCAACTCTCGACCACCGATATATATTCGGTTATAAGCAGATGGAATCGACAGACGGTGGAAGCGCCAGAAGCGGCGGCGACACATGGCAGCCAGCTGCAATTATTTGCAGTTGGAAGTTCTGTTTCTGTTGGGAACGCGGGCGCACAAGGCCATCAGAAACAGACGGCGACGGCCAAAGTCATGGACCAAAAAGCCAGTGTGGATGTTGCTTCCGGGTCCCGGACCCCGTCCTCCTCCTTCTTCATCTGCTACCGAAATGCGGCAAAAAGAGGGCAAATAATTTATAATTTCGCACGTGAAACTGACAAAGCAGAGGGAAAACGACGACGAGATTCCCCTGTGTGTGTGTGTGTGTGTGTGTGTGGGTCTTAAACTATTATTTGAGCACTTGACAAACGAATTTGTATCTGCAATTGTGCTCGCCGAATTTGCTTGAGCAAATAAAAAACAGATGCGACCAGCAGCTCTATCTCTTGGCCCGTCAGATCTGCATATATATATCTGGATTTGTGTCCATATATTTGTATTTGTATCTGTATCTATCATTGTATCTGTCTCTGTAGACGCACTGTATCTGTACTGTATAAGGCCAAAGACACTTTGAGTGGCAAGAGACAGCTGGCCGCAATCAACATGTGTTGGCCATGGCTCATACAGCAGCATCTCTCGGATACCATTTGCATGGACTCAGCATACACTTTATTTCGAGATGCATCTCTACCATATTTTGGATCTATATAGTTTTTATTTAAGATAATCACTTGCTGGCATTAACTTTAGTTATTGTATCTTATATATCACTGAGTTTGGTTGACATATCTCCAAGATACTCACCATTTTGGCCTGTATTTTTTGGCAGATCTCTTATGTGATACTTGGATTTCTGGTTAATCTGTTGCTGACTTTGGTTTCGTTTAGTTCTTAAGTTGCATTTTCGCGTTTCACTTGTGAGGCTTTCAGTACTTCGCGACCACTGACTTTGGGTTGTTGTTTACTATCGAATCATAATATCGAAGGCGGCGAGAGCAGCGCGACACGCGAACCGGCATCTCGGAGCAATGCCAGGCGACTGACTGACTGACTCTGAATGAACGGATGCGAAAGTATCTTGAATGGCGCGCTGGAGATACGAGATACACGCGGAAGTCGGAATGCGGAATGCGGATTGCGACGGCGACCGAGGGACGTCCGACCAGTTGAAAGTTGGGTTTGTTTGTGAGAGGAGAGCAGCACAGCGACCAGGTAGCTCTGGCCTCGGCTCGTCCGCCGTCATCGTCTTCTGGTCTTCGTGGCCCTCGAGGCGCCTGCGCAGTGGCAGATGGAACAGCTGTTCCGGACTCGCTTGGGTTTCCCTTGCCCCCTTGCTGGCTTATCGAGGGGCAACAACTGCCAGACGCTCGCCTGCTCGTGTTGTTGCTGCTGCCGCTGCCGCTGCCACTGTCGCCGGCATTTGGCCCGCTGGGCTATTAACATCAGCTGCTGCTCTCAGGCCCCTGCCACTGGTCCCGTTCCCGTTCCCGTTCCCATTCCCATTCCCCGTTTCCATCTCCTTGCTGGGCAGCAGCTGAAAAATTCCTTTTTGGCAGCAGCATGTTTCGTTCTCGTCTCTCCGCGCGCTGCTGTTTCACATTTATTTCCACTGCCTTGGCATTCCAGTTGGCATTGCGTTTCCAACTGCGTGCCGATATTTAAATAAATTGCCAACCAATTGTGCACACACTCCCAGCCCTCCTCCACGGCTGGATTTTCCTTACCCCCTTTTTGAGTTTTCCATTCCCTTTCCCTTTCTCTTTCAGTTTTTCCCCCGCTGAAAAGGCCCTTATGCTTGTGTTCACACCATGTCAAATGCTTAGTCCTTGGTTCCTTAGGGAAAACTCCGGAGTAAGGCGAGAAAATTAGAGGCGATTTATGTTAGTTTTCGAGAAGAAGGATCTCCAGATGCTGCTCCAATTGGAAATGGGCGGATATTGGTGGGTTTAAGAGATCAGTTTGCAATACAATTAGTTTAGGGGAGTAATAGAAAAACTTATAAAGTATATGGTTTAAGATTGAATATGGGAACTTGGTGGGATTTGTAAGAGTGCAGAAATTGGTTAGGGGTAATCATTAAAATAAAACAGATCATTATAGGTAATAGAGTTTTATTTTTGTTATTAATATGAAAGTGCACAATTATCATTTAACAATCTAATAAAAATAATAAAAATATAAATCAATTATTCAACAATTATTTGAGATAATAACATATATGAAAATCCAATTTGTGACTCCTTAATTTATGCAAAACACTATTCATTAACAGAAGACACTCCCAAGGAACTTAATATTTGCAATTCAAGGACAAGCCCCTAGGAAACTTTATATTAATAGATAATCCTTGCACCAATCAGTTAATACTTGACTCCATGCTCTCTTCCTAATGCACATTCCCTTCCAATCAAGACCCCTTACCCTATGGTAATTAGCGACCGATTGACATATCTATCACATCGCCATCTCATGCATATCCATCCAGCCAGAGGCAGGAGCAGCAGCAGCAGCAACAGCAGTGGCCATCTGGTGGCACCATCAATCTACGCCTGCGAAGACGTTTCAATACGTTCCATACAAATTGACCACCACAATTTAAACAAAACCCGCTTTTGGCCAATAAGTGGCCATTCATCTTGTCCGGCTGCCACCCACGCCCCACCTCTCTCTTTGGATTTCCTCGAATTTGCTCGAGGAAAACTTGCCACAAACGAAAACCCAAGCACCCTAAACCACAAAACTCTCGAACGTGGCGGGGCAGAGTGGGAATATTTGGCACTCGAGCTGGGGTCCGAGTCCGGGAAGTCCTGGGTAGGTTGGGCGTTGGGTGGGCATGACAGGGGGAGTTGGCCTGCTTCTTTTACTACTGCCACTTGGTAGCAGTTGGCAATGGCAGCGACGTCGTCGTCGTCCTCATCCTCATCCTCAGCCCCATCCTCAATGGAGCAGCAGCATCAGGCGGCAAATAATGTAAAACGCCATTAGGCGAGATTTTCTCATACAAACAACAATTGTGCATTGGCACACCAGCCTGACGTCGTCGTCGTCTGCGACTCTGGGAAATGCGGGAAAAGGGGGAGGGAGGGCAGAGAAAAACCAGGGGAAAGCTGCTGGGTGGTTGTGGGCGTTGGACACAGCATTTTTTTATGCGCATTTCGCACAAGCGAATGGAAAAGAGAGAGCGCAGAGCCGAGCCGAGGAAGATTCTCATGGAAGAACGTAGCAAACGAAAACAATTTTGGGCCGCGCTGCCGGGCAAGTGGCAACATTTGTTGCTGCTGCCGCTGTTGCTGTTGCTGCTACTGCTGCTGCTGCGACAAATTGAATGAAATCACGGCAATTTGGAGTGGCATACATCGGCAGGCAGCAGCTGCGACCAGACCGGGCCAGCTTCTGTCCAAAAGTCCGCTCCCAAATGGCCAGTCGCAAAAAAAATGTATAAATATACACTCAGGGAAATGGCGCGCATTCAGAGTGTGGGTATAAATATTTGGATTTATGGGTCATTTGGTCGTATATTGAAGGTCTTAGATATAGAAGAATATGATCATAAAATCACAGGGTTTTATCATATGCTGTTGACATTCATATTGATACTATACTTTTTCTTGGGTTTCAATCCATAAAGGTTATATAAATATAGCTAAGATTCTGAAATTATTATGACTATATTTTAAATTCCATTGTTCATATAATTATTCATTATACCCTTGGAGGGTATTATAATTGTAGTCAGATACTTGAAACTTAGTGAAGGAGTCATTTCCGACCGTATAAATCATATATATTCTTGATCAGCATCGACATTTGATAGCAAAACAAAATTTAACATTTTTATTCAAAATTTTATAAGGGGTTACATCGTTAAAATTTGCAAAAATTGGCAAAAATTTAAATCTTTTTAAGTTTCAAATTAGTATGTAGATTTATTACCCAAATAAAAATAAACATAAAAAGCTTTTTGAAATAAAATCAAGGGTTATTTGACAAAGTTATGTTATTTGGTAAAACTTTCTTCCTTTCTTGTTCTTTATAATTTTAAATACTACACTTTAAGTCAAAAAAGGATATTGTATTTCCTTTTTATAATATTGTTTTAAAATTTTAGTTACATATGAACTTAACTACATATAAATTATATTAACTTTTCGATTTATTTGAAAGATACCCATATCTTTTAGGACTAGAATTATTTTTCTCTGTGACAAGGAAGGCGGTCAAACAAGAGAGCAATGTTTTCCTTGGCTGTTGACGCATAATTGAATTATTAATTTTTATTTTAAACAATGAATGACACGTTGTTGCTGCTGTAACTGCTGATGCTGCTGCTGCTGTTGTTGTTGCTGCTGATGCTGCTGCTGTTGATGCTGCACATGCGTCACTCGTGTTTATCTGGCGACGGCGTGTATCGTCCCGATAAGGAAGTTGTTTGCTCAGCGCCAATTCAGCAGCAAACAAAATCAGAAATCGTAACAGGAGCCATAGCACGAGCAGCAGGACGAAAAGAGCAAGCCACCCCCACACTCACCGCCCACTTGATGCGTCCTCTAGGCCAGCAGGTCAGGATGAAGCTGTTTGTTTGGGTGTCTCTCCCCATCCAATACCATCCTACTCTCTCTCTGTGTGTGTGTGGCATTGACTGACTTTTGATAAGGGTTGGGGGGAGTGGAAGGAGGAGGAGGCTGGCTGACTGGGAATTCCCAGATATGGGAATCGGGTAACGGCAACTGAGTGCCGGCAGATAACACTCCTCCATGGATGGTAATGGCGATGTTCGCTGCTAGTTGGCCCCTGTCACCCCCACTGGGAGGGATCTGCCTATTAAGGTTTGCTTTGCCCTTTCCTGGGCCTTCCTTCGCTTGCTCCGTTCTCGACAGTTGCTCAGCGGTTGTCCGCGCTAAAATTGTCGCCGTCAGCGGCAATCCTGCCGCCTGGCCTGTCTTGGACATGAAAAGCCAAGAAGGGACTCGACTCTCCTTCTGATTCGGAGTCTCCTTCTGCTCCTGGGCCAAAGTGAAGAGCGTAAAAATGTCGACTGCAAGTGAAGTGTGGACAAAGGCGAGCCGTTGAGAAAAGGGGAAAAGCGTACAGTTGATGGTGCAAAGTTCTGCTCTGATGACAGCAGCAATTACACACTTTAAGTTGGCCAGAGGATTATATAGAGAAGAAGTATGAAATTAGTCATGGATCTACTGGTTACTTTAATTACTTATATATTTATATGGAACTTGGTAAATGTCTAGAGGTCCTTCTTGACCAATGTCAGACTAGGTGGCAACATTAAACGATAATTGATTCTAAAAAGTAGGCAGGTCGGCTGTCAGATCGTCCTCCTGCGAAACCGGAACTTGTGCTCTGTCTCCCTCTCTCTATATCTGTCATTCTGACAAACAGCACCTAACAATGACATATTAAGGATCTCCTAATTAATAATTATACCCTCATTTTCCTTTACCAAAACAATCCTTTCCATTCCTAAATGTTCTTAAAATATTATTTAACCAATGAATGTGATTTACAGCTTGTACTCAAAGTAAAAATACATTTAAAGCCCAGACAGTGGAGTGACAGCAGCAGCAACCAGCACCAGTAGCAACTAGCAATAGCAACAAGCAACAGCAATATGCTTTACGCTTTAGCAACCGCAATTGAATGCCCCAAAGACACAAAAACTCTATAAGGATAATGCTCGTACATGTGTATATGTGTGTTTGGTAATAGCAATGGCAACTGGCAACTGGCAGCTCTCAGCAGCAGCAGCAACAGCAGCAGCAAACCAGCAAGAGTAACCGTTATTAAAGATTTTGAATACCTAATTATGAAAATGTCAGAAGCAAACTTTTTTTGTTGCCAGAAGGGAGAGGGAGGGGAGAGGGCTAGGAGGCAATGACAAGAGCGGGGATATAATCTCCGACAGGACTCCTACGCTGTGCGTGCTAGTGAGTGAGTGAGTGAGTGGGAGGATGTGGCTGAAATCGCTGCCAGGCGTTTGCTTTCGCTTGCTCTATGCCAGGATACTATTGCGGCTAACAACAACAGCAGCAGCAGCAGCAGCAACAGGAGCAACAACATGAAAACAAACTGTGTTTGTGATGTGCCTGGCAGCCAAACAGGAGCTGCTGCTGCTGCTTCTGCTCTCTCATCTCATCTCAGCAGCCGGAGCAGCGGGGGGAATGTGAAAAATTCCATTTTCATGTCACTCAATTGAATTTCCATTCAAACTGCTTCTTTTTTTCTTTCCTTGGCCAGGATTCTCTGATTTTTTTTGCGACTGACGGCGATGGCAGCGACGACGAGCGAGAGCAAGAGCGCGGTGCCTTTCCCATTTAATATTTTTGCCTATTTTATACACACGCACAAACACACAAAGAGCACACATCCAGAGCTCACACACACAAACACGCACACACACCGAGCAATATGCGGGTGTGTTTTGTATTTTTGGGGTTTTCCAGGCAAATTAATTGCCTACGGATTTGTAGTTAGTTGCCATCGTCATCGCTTTTGTTGCTGCTGCCGAAAGCTCAAACACAAATACAGGCACAACAAAATGCCTGCCACACACACACACAGACACGCACACAATCACAATGGCTCTGGCCAAAAGTCCTTTTTGCCTTGACTGCATTCCGGGTTTATGGTAAAAATAAATAAATTTTGGGTTTATCTCAATGGCACACAAGTCATTTGCAGCTGAGATTTTTTTTCTTCTTCCATTTCGGTTTTTTTTCTTCTCCTATCTCTACTAGTATTTCCCAACGCCCCCATGTTTTCGTCCTTTGGTTATTTTTTGTTCGTCCTGCTACTCCCCTGTGGTTGCTTTTTGATGGCAAAGGTGAGCACATGTGATGATGGTTCCGGGCACCGGCTTCCACTGGGTATGGGAGGGTGTGATGTGTGTATGTAGAGAACAATATGTGGGGAACAATTGAAGCATGACGTGGAGATCTGTGGATTCCGGACACGAGCTTACATCGGATTAACATTGTGCTCGAGGCGTTCGAGTCGTTCAAGTCGGAATGCATTACCTTTCCAGTGGCATAAAGAACACTATGTAGTGGCATAAGGAAACAGAGGGAGAGTCCAATATAATCGATGTGCAGCCAAAGGAATTTTTGTCATTTGAAAGGGAATATTTTAAGGATACATTAGATCTCATTAGGTTTATGTTATGGGAGCCTAGGATATGTCCATGGGAGAATCACTTCCCAAAGGTAGTTAAATTATGACTAGGAATTCAAATGAATGGCCTTATAATATGATGATTTTTTTAAAATACTCTAAATGACTTTACATTCTATGATCTTATATAAAACCTAGGTTCTAACGACCAGAAATCTTTTCATATCTGATCAATTTCTTAACTTAAACTAACAAGAAAAATAAAAAACTAAATAATACCAGAAAAGAGACCCATCTGACCCATGCAGACATTCTAAAATCGTCCTTTTTAGACACCCTGCCAACCCCCCAACCACCATAAATAAGTGTCCTGCGATTTTCGGCCAGCGAGTCCTGGATGTGTGTGTGTGTTGGAGAAGGGAGAGGGGGTGGGAGACAACACAGTTCCTGCTTTTGTTTAGTGGCCAACAGCGATGCCAAGTGCAGCCACAGTCCACTTGCTCGTGCTTATGGCCAACATGGCCCGTGCCTCATGCAGATTTATTTATAGAATTTAAATTTAAACAAAAGCAAAAGCAAAAGCAGAGCGACAACGACAACGGAGAGTGACCAATGCGCCAGCGGCTTTGGCAATGCCGCCTGCTCCTGACAAGCTGACAGGCCTGCTGAGCCTGACTCTGGACTCAGGGACTCTCGGTGGATCCTGTTTGCCGGGCGACATTTTCACTTGTCATGCTTCTGCTTGAGTAATTAAATATAATTTTCTTTGCGCGCTTTACACGCCAAACGGAAGTAATAGCGTCAACGGCATTGACAGTCACTGAAATGCTGAAACTGAACGGCAGCAGGAGCAGGATCAGAGAGGTCCTTTATTGTGTAGTTAGTTCAAGGATTTGTTAAAGCTTTGGAAATTGGTGTATGTTCAGTATATGTTATATAGTATATATATATTATATATATATAATATATATTAATATATATATATTATATATATATTAAGAATAATTCATAAAATCATGTATTCTCCAATAAATATATTATCAATTTAAGACTTTGAAAAGATCAACAACTACACCCTTAAAAGTATAAAAAAAATTATACTTAAATCTGTACAAATTTAAACATTTTTTATTGCATTATTCCGTTCCTGTGTTTTTCTTGCCAGCTTGTAACAATAAATATTGTGTGTGTGCAGCTGCAGCAACAATAGATGGAAAAACAGCAATGGCATCAATTTTTTGTAACATGTTGCCAAACATGGCCCAAGCCGCCACGCCCACCGGCCACCACCCATCCGCCCATCCGCCCATCGCCCATCGCCTAGAGCCTGATACTGCCACTGATGTTGCTGCTGCGGTGGCCACTTAAATGTCGTTATGCTGTCGGGTCACGCGCCGATATGGACGAGGTCTAGGATTTGGCCCCCCGGGTTCCGTGTGTCCTTTTTCCTTTTTGGCCAAAACAACTTTATTGCCGCAGCAATTATGCGTAGCTAATAAAACTCTGCGGAGAGGTGTTGGCAAGAGTGGGGTGTGGAAAACAGGAGGCAAATCACTACTCAATTTTCATAGGGGGCATAGAGGCAGGCATTGAAAGCATCGACAGCATCGACAACGATTTATGCATGCGAGAATAATTAATGCGTTGATTTATTTAAAAACGTGTTCCGGCATTCAAATGATGGCGACAATTCTAAAGAGGACTCCGCAACAAACCGAACCCTGTGTTCAATGGCTGTCAAAAATTAACCCATTGCAAACAATTTGTATTCAAGCTGCAGGCAGTGTCGAAATATATATATATTTATTCGGATCGTAGTATATGTTTCGTGCCACAGATTGGGCATTAATGGGTTAACATGTGTGAACCTCCGCGCTTTGTCGAAATGCAAATTTATATGCCAGCTTGACAGCAACAGCAATCCAACAACCAAGGCAAACACAATGGCTAACAAAACAAAACAAAAATGAATGTATTGCAAAAAATGAGAGAAAAATCAAATATGTTAAGCGGCATTTAAGAGCGGCATCCGGAATCCTGTGAATCCTGCGCCTGCCACACGAGATAATGCTCCAACCCCCCTCGAACGCCGCCTCACTGTTTGTATATTTTTCTAAAAATTTGCACGCATTGCATTGTTGTGCTTTTTGTTGTTTTTGTTTCTCTACTGTTTTTGGGGCTGTGTGTTTGCTTGTTTGTTTGTTTGTTTTCTTTGTTTGTTTGTCGCACACACATGTGTGCGGTTCCCAGAGGCAGCGTCGCCCCCGAAAAGTATGCAAAGCAACAAAAACGAGCAGCGAAATCAGGAAAAAAGTAGGCGGCACACGCCATTACCAGTGGGTGTGGGTGTGGATGTGTGTGTGTGTGCCAGCGAGTGTGTGCGGGTGTGAGGGATGTGGGAAATGTAAACGGAATTGTTTTGCTTCCACGATGCTGGCTGTGCGAGTGTGGGAAAACGTGCGGGTGTGTATGTGTGACAAAGGGATAATGACTGGCAGCCAGGAGACCCACACACACACACCCTCCACACAAAACCCCCTCGCACACACACACACACATCGCGCTGCGTGTCTTATCACCAATGAAGGAAAACACGCACGCCCGCCCAGCAAGCTCAAGGCAACGGCCACTCGGGCGTATTGACAACCACTAGGATATCCCTTCGCTGTCGCCGTTCTTTATCTCCTTCCCCCCTTCGCTTGGAGTCTTGCGTTTGCTAATAGGACCAGCGTCAGCTTATCCTGCAGAGAGGTTCGAGTAGGTAGCGCCAGCCCTGAAAGTGCATTATGATGAGAGGTGAAAGGCTTTATCAATGAGTAGGTGGGACAGGTAGATAGGGAGTCTAATTACTCCTTCAACAATGCTCAAGCTCAAATCCAACCTCAAGTGTGAGACAATGGTTCTTGAAAGTGATTAATTTCGAATATTCAATGCCTAACATATGTTACTTACATAAAATCACAATTGTTTACTTTGTTCCTATTATTAAGCTTTAAACAATTTCATAATAAACTATTTAAAGGAATATTTCTAAGAACTAGGAAAATCAACTTGTTGGGTAAAGCCATAATTTCATATTCATTATTATTCAAATACTTAATTTTATATTGTTTTTACTAACATTCATAATTTTTTCTCGAACTTCAAACCTTATCACACTCGCCTAACTTTAAATTTCCCGGCAATTCCCGATACATTTCTGGCATTCACAGTGGACTTAAGCAGATTTATCGATTGTTTTCAGGCAAGTTAACAACTCTGTACTCTGTTACAGGCCATGTTAAGCGCAGTGTTAATAAACAACTCGCTAAACCACCTTTACAGCACTGAAATATTTGAATTCAAAACTGACTTAAATAACTTGCATTTATTTTTGATAAACACTATATTAAGTTTAGAATTACGCTTCTAAAAAGTAGTTTGTTCAACAATTTCCTTTTAGCAAATGGGCGCATATTGCCACGCCCAATAATGCAGCGGCAATAACAACGACTCTATCGATTACATTTAAATGACTATTGTTCACTGACTCAGTTTGCGCGGGCATTGGGAGATATATGAATATATATATATAGGCCAGTCGGAGGTCGTGGGGCGGGCATTGCGACGTCGTTGCTTCGGTTACGTTAACTTAGACAAATGTGGGGTCATTAAGCACTAGTTATCACATAGTAAACTTAGGGGGTAGGCAATTCCTCTCGCTTCCTCTTGATTGCTATTGCATTGACTTGCAGTTGACTGATGATGGATGTACGGATAATCAGCGATACCCCAGTAGGTATTTGGGCAGGTAAGTGATCGAGGACAGCAGGCTATAGCTATAGTTACGGCAGGGAGAACAAAGAGTTGCAAAATAAGTGTCCATCTTAAGCTTTATTACTAAAGATTAAACATTTTCTCGCCACCAAAGGTATATAGTGTATATACAATCCTTAACCACCTTAACCACCAATATTCACAATCACCAAATCGTAGGGATTGTCGCCATTCGTTGCAGTGTCTTCTGTCCGTTCCTAAGATCTGAGCAATCATTAGTTTTTGCAATATTTTAGTTTGTTGAATGAACCACACCAATGCAGAGAATAAAATGTAATCGTTATTACAAAGTAAACAAAAAAGCAAAAAAACACAAGCAAATATACAACAAACATAGAAACTAAAATCAAGGGTTAATTAAATAATTTAACTGATAAGTGCAAACATCACCAAAACAACACGTAGCTATCAAGCGAAAGGTGCTTACGAGTTGGTCAGTCCTCGATAGAACCACGACTTCCAGGACTTTGACGACTCCCGATCGATCTTTGACTCGACCTCGGCACAAAAGTGTTTCCGGTCATGAGAGCGTCCACTTTTGCAGTCACAAATTAGTCGCTTCTTGCACTCGGCATCGCAGGTGGGTCGCGCCGGTGAGTTCTTCCAGTAAAATCTGTTTTTAAAAGAGATTCACTTAATATCTTAAAGTGATCTTTAACTTCTAAGACGACTGAACCCACTTGTAGTACAGCTCAAAGAGCTCCTGATTGTTTGTCAGCTCGTTGAGCAGATTATTCCAGTCACTGGGACGCAGGGCCTTCATATTGTAGGCAGCTCGTGCCGTATATAGTTTATACCATATAGGATAACCATACAGATTGGCCTCCTTGAGATTCATTATCCAGGACTCGTGGTCGATGACCAGCCGTGTGGTGGCATCGTGATCCCCATCCACATAGTAGATTCGATAGCCAGGATTCAGATCGTAGTAGGGTGAAACAGAAGGTCCTATGTAGGCAACGCTATTGGGATGATCTGTAAAATAAAGATCAAAGTTAATGGTTGATTTCAGAGTCTAGAAATAAAACTCTTACTCAGATCATGCGGATCGTAGAACATTTCAAACTCATCGTAGTGCGTGTGTCCATAAAACTGAGCAGTTATGGTGCTCTCATAGCGAGCAATGATCTTGTAAAAGTTTCGAGACCAGACCTTCAGGCAATCCGAATGTCCTGGGGGAATGTGACCAATTACATGCACCTTCTCATTAGAGAACTCGGCACTCTGCAGCTCGTAAATGAACCTGGAAAAGGGAATTAAAGGTACTTAGTACTTTTATAAGTTTTTAACTTCATATACTGCATTCTTACCACTGCAGTTCGGTGGCTGGATCTGTGGAGTTCAACAGGAGCCACCAGTTCTTGTTGTTGCAGTAATTCATATTCATCGAGATGATGCGGAAGCCAGGACGCACCAGCACTGAGTAGAAGGCACCCCGCCGCACCGTGTGGGATACACTTTGTGGCAACCAGCGACGCCACTGGACATCCAATTCATCATAGAGCCAACTTATTGAGATGTCCACTTGGTTGACGTAGGGAGGCGGGAAGCTGTTCACCGGAGCACTCTCGTGGTTGCCCAGCGCCGGGAAGATGGGCACGCCGGGGAACTTCTCCACCATCTGCTGCACCGTCTCCTTAAGGATGGCCAGATTCTCCTCCTTGGTCTGGTTCCAAACATCGTGAGGCGGCAGATCACCGGTCCACAGGATGTAGTCAATATCCTTGTGGGTCTCTGCAATGTGGGCCAGCATGTGATCGACCGTCCTCTTGGGTGTATCACACTTCCTGTAATCTCCCCACTTCCCGGCTGCTGCATTCGGCGTGGCTGGTCGTCCACTGCTGAGACGGCAGCACAATGGCTCATTGCACTCGGCATTGGAGCCCTCCGCATAATGGGGATCATAGTGGGTGTCGGAGATATGCAGGACCTTGAAGAACGGAGCAGCCTCCATGGGAATGGGCAGATCGGCGAGACGCGGTGGCTTGGGCACCGGCGGGAAGATCACCTCCCATTCGTGGTACGGGTTGTAGACATCCGCACAGCCATCGCCAATCACAAAGCTGCACAGCTCGTCGGGACTGAGGTTGACACGCTTTAGGACGTAAATCAACTCGGTGCCAAAGAGCTGGGCCACTCCCTGGCAAACCCTGGCACTCTGGATATTCAGATTCGTGCAGTAGTCAGTGATCATTTGGATCAAGTCGGCGTCCGTCTTGCCAGACTGAATCTGATGCTGGATCATACCGGCACCAGCACGGCAGGCGGTGCACGTCACCTGTGACATCAGACTGTTCTCCACCTCGAAGGCCACCTGCTTGAGGTTCAGCAGTCTCAAAGCCCTGTCCACGAAAGGAGGATAGACCAGACCATCTCCGCCACCTGCATCGTTCCACAGCATTCGGGAAGTGGCTGTCTGGTTCGCCAGTCGCTGGAGGAACTCTGCATCGGAGGCATCCGAGGCACTGATCTTAGTACGATTGGGATGGGGCACCAGTTCCAGATGCGGCTCAATGCTACGCGGCTGCTCCTCCACCACCCAGGGCTCTGTCTCGAGCTGTGTCCAGTTTATCTGAGGCCGGAGATGTGTGAACAGAAAGGGCAAAGCTGCAACTGGAAGAGAATTTCTTCGGTTAACCATGTCATTGGAGGATGCTGTATCTCTACTCACCATCCGCCACTGTCAGAGTGACCAGCAGGGCGATGAGCCAGCAGTTTGCCCTGCTACATGGCCACGACAACTGGCGCTGTGTCATAATGTTTGGGAATGGCTACGCCAGGTTCGCAGCTGCGTGACTTCCACAGCTCCAGAGATTCACAGAGATCTACAGGCGGGTCTCCTCCTCAAGTAGCAGCCGGCTTGACCTACATTGGAGGGTTTACCCCAGACAAGAAAAAATTAAACAGAGGCCGAAAATTGGAGAGTCATTATTTTGGGGAACAAGTTTCATTACGACGAGCAATATACAGAGGCTCGTCAACATGGGTTTTGTTTTGTTTTTTGTCTTTCAACATGCAGTTTCTTTTTCCTGTATGATTTATGGCAAGTGTCATTAAAGTTTTATGTAATATAAATTAAATATCTCCTCAGCTGGTAAGTCCTCGTAATATGTTCCTGAGAAAGTTAAGCCTGCTTATTTATTAATTCTACTTTTTTGCAACATCAATTTCCCTTTGCTTGCACATTAACTGGCTTAGAGCCACAAAATCCTATTGCCTCCATCCACCCTTGACCTTTTCCTCGTTCCCTGAGGGACACTTGTTCCAAAACCCTAAATCTAAATTTCCATTTAAATCCATGCGTGTGTTTTTCGAGGGGGGGGGGGGGAATTTGGTACTGCTTTCATCAACATTTGACAGCACTTAAAATCTCGTTAGCTGCAAATGGCATATGTTTAAACGCAGCAACATCAGCAGCAACAACATCGGCAGCAACATCAGCGATATATATGCAACATCAGCAGCAGTCAAGAACTGTCAACTCCCTCCCTTTGCTGCAATGCATGCCGCATTAGATGGAATTGTTGCAGCGCTTTTATTTGGATTGACAGATACATTTGTAGCTCACTGTTGCGAGTGACTCATGTGATGTGTCTTCCTCGCGAGAGAGTTGTTTGCCTTAAGCGAATACTGTTAGATATCACGGTTCGCATGGCATTAACTCGTCTGTTTGTTTACTGTTTTTCCCAGCTGAGTTGAAGCGAAAGATGCCTTATCAGCATCTGTCACTTGATGCTTTTATTTATAGCAAGTTTAGTTTATTTTTCGCTGTAGCTTATTTATTTTTTTAAGACTCTCTAATCTGAAGGAAATTGCCTAATCAGTGTGAACTATATACTGAGTTGTATTTGAAAAAGAATAAATCAAAACTGAGGGAGCGAACACTATCAATAAAATAAGCCAAGGGAAAGGCTGAGAAAGAGTTGATGGAGAACAAAGTTGTATTGCTATTATTAACCTTCAAGATGTGCCTGAATATATATTATTATTACATAGGAATAGCTACCTTTACCAAGCGGACTTCAAGTAACAATGCTTAAACACCCAATAATTCCTTAACCCCCTTGGAATTTTTTTCTCTCTTTCTTTAACGTCTTTTGACCCTGACTCATCTCCAGCCGAGGCTTTGGCCAGTCAGTCCGTCAATTGCCAGGCCATCACATGACACGATATAAACATAACAATCATGTGCGAGTAAACACAACAACTAAGCGAATTGATTTGTTTGTGATGGATGGAGGGAGTGTATGTAGTGTGTGGTGTGTACTGTGATGTGTGTTGTGTGCGAGATTCATTATGCACCAGGCTCAATGCCAGACAATTGGCGTGCTCCCGCATCAAATCGGCCGACAATGTCTCATCTATGTATGAGCCACGGGCAGACGGCCTGTGGACAAGTGTCGCCAAGGTACATTGGCCTGTACGGAGTGAAATCGTTGGCGAGGCTTTTTATTTGCCTTTGGAGATTTGAGCGAAAATCGAAAGTGCCTTCTCTAGGGCCTAAGGTTCAAGAAAAATGCATTATTAACGCATTTGATAGGGGGTCTGTGAGGGTAAGCTCAGAAAACTCGTTTCGCGGACAAGGTTAACCGAGGACAACACTAATTTCCAACTGAATGCAGGTCAAGTTACAGTCATCAAAAGCGACTGAACCCAACAGAAAGACATTACAAAACTATCAAAAAATGGGAGGCTTTCGTTAAACAGGTTTCCAGAGCTCAAAGCTCAGAGTTATAGCTGCAGCACGTGGCCAGAAAAATTGATTTTTGGCACAACAAACCATCTGCATTCGACCGCATTCAGCTTTCACGCTCACAATAGGCCTCCCACCGAAAAAGGGCCGCTACCGCTGGAGGGGAAAAATATGTATGTGCAAGCCAAAAAAAAAAACTTTATATATATATATGTATAAAACTTTCACTTTCTTTAGAAATTATTTTTTGATAATATCATTTTCTTCTTTCTCTCCTTTTTGTTGTTATTTCGAAAACACTTTGGGATGTGAAGTGCTAAATGGAGCGGATACCAGCCAGGTCCCACGCCCAGAGCTTAAGTCATTCCGCTCAATCGTGTTGGCTTTGTCTTTTAGTGTCTATTGTATAATGTTGCTGCTGCTGCTGCAGTCGGTCACGCTGCATGTAATGTTTTAATGAACATTTCTTGTTTTATAATAATTAGGAAAGAGATGGGAGTCTATCTCACTGTGTGCCACCTAACCGAAAATGAAAACGAAAGTGCGTTTCTTTTCTTTCTTTCTTGTTTTCCCCGCAGCAATTTGGTTGTATGGAAATTTTCTCAAGAAAAGATACCGTTTATATTGATTTGACAAAAGAAAGCTTTAATTACCGGTCGGAATGTGTAAGAATTAACCCACTTAGATCACTCGTCTTGAATTTGTTACAATAAGTAGGAAATAGTTGCCATTTCAGGCACGTAAATATTAGAAAAGAAATGTGAATAATGCCTCGACGATCTCCCCCAACTGATCAAGAGATATGTCCATCTTCATTACACTTCTCAACAGTTTTCCCAGATTTTATTATTCATGGTCGGGCTTTGGGTTAGGGAGTGCGTGTGCTTCTGATTCGCCATTCGTATGGATGGAATGCTCTGGCCAATGGAACAGCCTCGTCATGACCAAATAGTGGCCTATATCTTTGTTGTTTTTGTTCTTATATATTTGTTTTTGTGGCCCCCGTGTTGGTTTTGGTTAGCGGTGGCTAATTAAACATGCAGTCGCCACCGTACCAGCGAGCCACCGAACCACTCATCGTACCTCAAATACCTGGCACGCACAGCGAACTGCACGCAAATAGCAACGGTGACTCTGGTTTTGTATAGAATGGTTATTACTATAGGGAGAATGGGCTTTAAAATGCCCTTAAATACTATAGGAATATTTTAAATACTTTAAAATAAACTAAAACTAAGTCTGAAAGTAATTCTGGTGAGGCTTACTTCATTTACGAACAAATTAAGAGTTCATGGGTTCCAAATATTTCTAAAAACATTGAATAAATTAACCAATATTGTAAATTTCAAAGGGCTTTCTTCTGACATGTTTACATACCCTATAAACCCTCATACTCGATGATTATAGGGTACTCTTCCCATTGAAAGAGTAAAGCTGCGTGTAACCAATAGAACCCACAAAGAGAGCTAGCTAAAGGGACTGTGTCTATATAGAACCTGCTGCACAAAAGTCAAACAAAGTGCAGACAGTTTACAACTTGGCGGCATAACTGCAGATTTTGCAAGCGATTCATAAGCGTGGAGCATGGAGCTGCGGCGCATGCGTGACGGCGGAGAGCTGTGAGAGAGCTGAAGTGAAATGCGCAAACGTGTTTTTCCTGACGGCGCCTTCTGACGAAATGTGTAACAGTAAATCACAAACTACCACAAACTAACACAACTGGTTTAATACAAACTAAAGCCGAATTAAAGCGAATCAAAATTAAATCAAAATTTAAACCAATCAAAGTCAAAACCAAATCAAATGAAACCAAAAACACTTTTCTTAACTAAACCTTTACCTTTTTCTTGAGGCCGAACTTTCGTTCTTGACCCACAACGAAGGCGCTTTGTTCTTTGTCGTTTCGTTTTCTTTTCTTTTTTGATATTTGTATATTATTCGGTTTCTTTGGCTCTTTCCCTTTTCTTCCACTTTTTCTTTCTCACAGTTACACTTTTTTATTTATATATATAGACAATATTGGCCCATAATTCGCAGCTCTCGGTTGCTGATTATTGCCCTCATTTATTTGCGTTTCATTTACGAATTTCTATAATCACACAATGCGATCCGAACTTATATATATTTTTTTCCTTTGGCGTGCACACTACACTTGGCATTTGTTGTTTCTTTTTTTCTTTCGTAGATTTCACCCGCCTTCAAGCACTGTTTTTCGCGTCTTTCTCCGCTGAGGAAAATCCAACCGCTCGCCACGAACCGCCGCCACTGAATGATTCGACCAGCTTTTGAGTCGAGCTTAGTTAGGCAGCTGACGGCTGAAGAGAGTCGCCAAGAGAGAGTGTATTTCTCAGATCACCAGCTACCTAGAGAGATGGGTACTAAGCAAAGGGGGAGAGACACCTAGAGAGAGGTATAAAGAGAAATGTAAAGAGAAATATGGAGAGCTAACCAGAGAACACACTCAGCTTGTGACATTTAATTAGTTTGATTTGTATCGCGCATGAAAATCTATTAGCCATTGTTCCAAAACGGAAGTTTATGTAGTATAGATATAGAATCTGAACAACAGATCATACATTGTTTCGGCAACGATCTGTGGGTTTTATTATGAATGGGTTTCTTAGTCAGGTTAATTCTGGGAATAAATTAGTTTTGTATATAATTAAAATTAGTTTAAATGGCTTTTGAAATGTAGAAACATAAGTAATAATTCTAATTGAAATGAAGTGATATAATTATGGGCTTATGGGGTTTATATTATCTTAACCATTATTTAAATGTTTGTTAACAAGTTTATGGGTGAGTCAAATTCTTGGCAAATTAAATAAAATTAGTCAAAACTAGTTGAGTTTCGTTAAACTAGAAAAGAAATAACTTTTGGCATCAAGCAGTAGTTTTTGATTAACACCCAAAATTTATTTTTATAACAAGCTTCTTGTCGGCTCAACTCTCGGTAAGAAGTTTGTTTAAATGATTATCAGTCGAATTAACTTTATTAAACTGATGTTTATTATTTAATAATCTTTGATATACTTATTAATATTACATCAAGCTTTATGAATTATTTATATTATATTAATATTAATATATTTACCAGAACTATAAATTAAACTAACTGAGGGAAGCAGCATATTATAAACCTTGCAGTTTGCAAATTAATTATGGGCTTCATAACTAAGCTTAAAATATGATATTCTTTAAATCGTTATTTATATGACAATTTTTTAGACAAATCAAATCTTAAAAATCTCATAACTAAGCCAAAAAAACACTCGATTTCAATTCGGAAAGCTTTCGTATATTTCGTAACTCTGTATATCCTATAATATATATATATATATGTATATATATATATAAGATTGTATAGATATTGTAAATATATAAAAAATACCAAAAATATTAATAGATAATTAACTCACTTGCATATAACTTCGTATAACAATAAATGTTTAAATAATCCGATGATAGTTCCCAAGCTAACTCCGTAAAAAATAGTTTATTTATAATAAGCACTGTAAAAACCGGCCGAAAAGTGGTCTTGATTTTCTTGATTTTTATATAGATTTTGCTTTAATGCTCAGTGCCTCCCTACACTCATGTTTTTGTTTATTGTTCTTGATTCTTTATATTTACACGTTTAATGAGGTACATAATATGTGCGCTTATATGCGAAAGGTGATATGCCCACAATGACAAACAGTTTTTTTTTTGCGGACTCTAGATTTGATTGGAGGAAGTGGAGTGCAAGAGGAGGAGGAGGTGGTGGAGGTGGAGTAGATAGATCCATCAATCAAATTCTGCTAACCGTTGGCCCCCGTATCCGACAACTGCACTCGGATTGATTTATGGCCATTATGGCTCCGGCTATCAGGCGGAGGACTCGATTGACGCACTCGACGAGTCATCGCACTGCTTGTAAATGGTGAACACCTCACGCTTGAAGCTCAGGAAGCTGAAGCGCCGAAGGCCACTGGGCTCCGAGTGCTGCTGCTGCTGCACTTCACCCGAGGGTTGGCCAGGTAACTGCAGCTCCAAATCCTTTATCTCCATGGTGGTAGCTCCTCCTTGCTTCTCCTTGGCTTGATAGCAGCGCCAGCTGAATGTGGGTGCCCTCAGGCCACAGCAGCACCTGCTCCGGTTCGCCTGATCCATTGGCATAACCCCGTCCTGTGGTTTGCCATTGCTGCAGCCCAAGAATCCACGGACTTTCTGCTTCATCAGCGTCACGGTGCGTATGGTCTGGGTGAGGAAGGTATAGAAAAGCGGATTCAGAGCACAACTGAATAGGTTTAGGATGCCAAAACTGAAGTAGAGGAGCCAGTCAACGGGCTCGGAATAGGAGCCATAGAGACGCATGATCAGGAACACCCAGGCAGGCAGACGCAGGCAAATGAACACAGCCATCATCATCAGGACCACCACAACCATCTTCCTATGCCTCGCTTCCCTGGCCACAGCAGCTGCCGTGGTCTTTCTCACAGGTTCCGCTCGAAAGGTATTTGCTGGTGGCAGCGGACCTGTCTTTTCCAATGCAAAGGGTATGGCCACTCCCATGGCACTGACCAGGGTGGAGGGCATTAGGAGCTCCCCATTGCCCGACGATCCCAGTGACTTGAAATGACCCTCCTTGGGCTCCTGTCGCTGGACATGCTGCTCCTGGTGGTAGTGCCTGCGGAGCCACAGCTGCCTGGCTATCGTGGCATTCAGCCAGAGGAACGACACGATGCAGGGCAGAAAAATCAGGGTAAATAGTATGACGTAGTAGAGTCCAACGTCGTGCTGAAAAACAGAATATTAATAGAATTGCATAAGTTTATTCACACAGCGGTGGAGATAAGATAAGCCGAACATTGATTCAACAAATGTCAAACTGTCCGCTTTAATCGCTCTGTATTAGCGGCGATAATCTCTCCTCTTTCCCCAACTTACGTCTCCGGCCAGGCACATATGGACCAGCTCCAGTTCGGTAACGACCACCTCCTCCGGCTCAACTGTAACTATGCTGGTTGATGGCTCCTCCTCGGCCTGGTCGCACTCCACCTCTAGAAGATATATCCAGCGGTAATCATAGATTCCTAGTAAAGGTCCTGAGGCGCCTATGGAGCAGGCCCAGATCAGCAGCATGCAGAGGGTGCTGAAGCGATAGTCGGGATTCCAGAAGCCCAGAACAGGTCGCATTACAGCCAGGTAGCGATCCAAAGCGATGGCCACCAGGGTCAGGCTACCAGACAGCACCGAAGTGGTGGTAATAAAGGGCACAAACTTGCACATGAAGCCGCCAATTGTCTGAATGATATATAGATTAATTAAATTGTAGAAATAGAAAACATTCTGCAGCTAACTCTAAAAAGGAGCCAGTTAATCCTTAGTTCCCACTCACCCAAAGCTGCAAATACTCCGCCTGAAACTGTGCCATGTAGGACACCGTACAGAAAACTGTGGAGGCCAGATCGCTGCAGGCTAAGGATATCAGGCAAGCCCGAAAGAAGGGACGCAGCTTCCGGCGGGTGTTGACATAGAGAGTACCCAGATTTCCGGTGAAAGCCAGGACAAACAAAGTGCCCACCACCGCAGAGAAGGCATTCCGCTTGAAGGTATTCAGCTGGCTAAGATCACCGACAAAGACGCCAGGATAACGAGCGGTTGTAGGACTCTCCGTGGACTCGCCATGCTTGACCAAAGCCCACTTCAGGTATAGATCCAATTGCTCCAAGGTATAGTGTATAAGGGCCATTTCCCGTACCGGCCCGAAAGTATGCCGCAAAACGGTCCGGACCCAAAACGCTGCGCCACTAAACTAAACCCGGCAGATTTATGGCCAACGATGGCTACCGATGGATGGGTTTTGTGGTCTCTCTCGCTTCTGGTTTAATATTTCATTATCGGGCGACGCTTATCATCGTTAGCTTCACCGTTAACCGATGGCTATCCGCTGTCATTATTATGCGCAGCTCGGTGCACACGCCACCGATGGAGGTGATAATGATGATGGCAGGTGTAATCGCTCATCAGAGAGCCATGCCCCCGCAACCGAAACAGTTTAAGAAATAATCGAACACCTTGTCAAGTCGATTTACTTTAGCTGTGGTTTCACATTTATTTGCGACACTTTCTCCTGGCTTTCTCTCTCACTATCTCTCTCTCTCGACCACCCTATATAGCACACTTTGTTTATTGTCCTTCCTGCCTGTCGGCCTTCGGTTGCATAGGTTTAAGAGCTTAAAAAAATACAACGCCTTCAACGCACACACATTACGAATAGAGTATACCTATGTGGTAAGCTTAATGTACAAAAGAACTACAAAAAACATTTTGTTTACGGTTTAAACTTAACAGCGAAAGCTTAAGAAAACCTAACTTTAAACTAGGAGTGGAGCTAAGCCTAAGAACTAAAGTATCTAAAAACGATTAGGCGGTAAGAGGGAAGGTAGGCTTTTTAGGGAAAATGGTTTAGGGGTTCGGAGAAACCAATTAAACTTTTTCTTTTTATTTTTACAAACATTAACGGCTAGCTAAACATTATAAAACTATATAGTAAGCACTCGAAAATACTTGGAATCTGTTTCTTTTTTGGCAAAAACACAATCAAAAGTCACACACGCACACTCACTCGCACACACAACATTTGCCACGAACATCTGTATACATATCGGTATATATCTGTATATCTGTATATCGGTTTATCTGTATATCTGTATATATATGGAGATAGGTGTATAGTCTTTTAACCAGCATAGCATTGGTAGGCTAGTGTAGTAATCATAGTGGATAAGGTAGCTTTACAACGACGGATAGTTGGGTGCCTTGGCCTTTTTTTGTAGTTTTGTATTCGAAAAATGCAGCGAAGCTTTTTGTTGGGTTTGCCGGAACCGGAAATAAAAACCCCGGTAGCCGTAACGCCTAGTAGAAGGACTCATGGGATCCATCCAAACACTGGCTGGCCATGTGCAGGGTTAGTGCCTGATAGGGCAGTGGTTTTCCCATACTCAGGTTGGCGGTCACATAAACCAGGTAACTGGAGCCCGGCATCAGGTTGAGTATAGTCTCCGTTTCGATGTTATCGGGACTGAAAAGGATATAAGTATAACATCCAAATCTTCTATATCCTTGAAACTCAAAACCCACCTTGGTTGCCTTTCCCGGCAGGTCATCCACTCAAAGTTCCTGTACTGCATCACCCGCTTGGGCACAAAGTCCATGCAGTAGTTGGTGGAATCCACCACACTGCGATTACGCTGCGGCAGATTGAACACTATGATGCAGTAGCTAAAAGACCGGAAATTGAAATATATTATATCTAAAAATCCTTAATCTCAAAGTCTTACCTCAATTCCCGCTCATCTGGCGAGCCATTCCAGGCTATGGTGGCCCTATTGCATCTCGTTCGCACATTAAAGACGCTCGCATTCTGCGGCAAGTCGGGCAAATCCCGGAACCGTGGTTCGCTGCTCAGGGCCACCTGGAAGAAATACATATTCCTTCTTAGGTATCCTTAAAATTTCACAATTTTCCAAGGACTCTTACCAACACTTTCTGGGCGCGGAAGGCCTCATCCTCATTGCTGGGCTCGAAGCGCATCAAATACCGCTCGCCCGGCTGCACGCCCTTCTGCCTGATGTAGGTGGGACTGTAGAAGGCTTCCGTCCTGCCCACCTCACTTCGCTGGCGAAGCAACCGTACCCGAATCTCGCTCCCTGAGCAGGGTATGAGGAGATGCCTCACAAATGGTTCCGCCACTTGCGGCGGCGTTGGCGGCACCTTGAAGCTGTACACCTGCTTCCCATGCTGGCCACCGATCTTGAGCAGGAGCAGTGCCTGCTGCCTCAAGGCCAGCGGCTGGGTGCGATTAAAGCTCACCTGGCTGCTGGCCAGACGCAGGGTGAGATTCTGGCGCGTCTGATGGACCCCAAACAGATCCAACTGATAGGTACTCCTTGGATGCAGGCGACGCAGCATTTGCTGGCGCCGCTTCCCCGTACAAACGACATGCAGATTCTGGCGAGGATTTAGTCGTCGCTCCCGCTGCGGGGGTGTGGCCCAGACCAGGTCTAAGGGATTTCCAGCAGAGCAGCTGGGAGCCATATGCCGCTGGTCCATATAGGTGGACACCGCCTCACAGAAATTGGCGAAGGATATTAGCGGTGAGTCTGACGTCAGGCGCTGGATTACCAGGCAATAGTGCATGGCATGGTAGTCGAACTTGCTGAAAGGATTGGGAGTACATAAACAATAAATCTAATTTGTTTTAATATTAAAATATATTAATTAAATTCCACTCTATTATCCTGCATACTTTTAGGTTGAATTCATGCCAAACTACCACTCACCTTCTGTCCCACTTGACAATCATCTCGCGCTTCCGCACTCGGTTCTGGGTACGGATGCCAATCCTGTGCGTGGCATTGAGCAGCGGCCAGTCCCTCTGCGGATGCTCCGCCAGAGCGTCCACCTTGAGAGCGCCGCTGTGGCGGGCCAGCACAAAGAGATCATAGTGACCGCGCAGGGCGCAGGGCAGAACCAGGCTGCCCACAGCCACACCTGGCCCAGGTGGAGCGGCTGCCGGTCGCAGTAGATTCGCTGCAAGGAGGCAGAAGCCGGTGCTTAATGGCTACAGCTGGGCGGGGGCTAAGGAATCGGACTTACCTGTGCGATTGTAGTACATCTTGCGGCCCACGGGCGCCGAAAAGCGAATCGTCAGCGGCGTCGAGGCGTTCAGGTTCAACACAAATCTGCAAAACGAGATGAAGGCGGCTTTTGAGGGGCGGAGTAAGTGAGCTGTTAACGCCCTTTGTCAAAAATGATGACACTAAATTATCACACGCAATTTGTTTTGCCGCCTGTCTGGGACCCCGGACGAACTGAGCCAAATGAGTCAGCGGCTTTGGTAAGTTACCCTGGCCAAAAAAAGGGTAGCTTTGCTTATGGTACATCTTAAGGAAGATATCCCTGACTTGATTGTAATTTACGATTTTATACATGTTTCTCTTGACACATTACATTTTAATCATGAAGGTATATATTTCTAATCCTCTTAAGAGAATTTTTCCTCAAAATCCAATTATAGATAATATTCAGTTCATATATTGGATATTATATATATATTAAGAATGTGTTAAATCGTATTCTGTGTGATATATTAAACTTTTACAAATAAAAGTGATATAGTTTACACTACATTTAGTTTGAACTATGATAGATAAGTTACCAAGAATTAATATTTAAATATGCTTTAAATAGTATGTAAATTATTATTGATTATATTTTCAATATTTCAAGATGTGAAATATCAAACTATAAGAAATTTAAGATTTAATGTAAAGCGCTTTTATTGGAATATTATATAGAACTTTTCAAGTCGATATTCATCCTAACTTAATTTCATAAAAGCTACTTTTAATATGTATTTTTACGTTTAAACTCTTCCATCAGAAATTTCAAAGGGTATCCCTGACTCGACTGGCACAATGATTCCCATCCCCGAACTTTGTTTATCCATCTTTTTTGCTCCGAAGCTGTTGCAACTTTGTTGCAGCCAAAGATTGAGTTCAAGTCCCCTGGGCAGCGGCCTGTATGCTCTGGCCTGCCAGCATTTTGTATTGTAATTAAATGCGAAATTTACGAGCAATTTTTCTAATGACAAACTGCTAAGACAAATGAGCTCGCCGATACACCCACACCCGCACACACACACACACAAAGAGACATACAGGATGTCTAGGATGCACTGCGGCCCAAACAAAATGGAGAAGGAGGAGCTTGGTAGCAGGATGGCCATTGCAGCAAATGACTCATTGACTTGGCTTATGGCCGGCCATCTCGAGTTTTATTTTTATGACCGGCTACTTCCGGCCAACGCCATCTCTCCAGCTCCAGCTCTCCAGCTATTGACCATCATCCCCCGCAACCGGGCCAGAGTCGGTCGTATATATTTCTTTTTTGGCCGCCCTGCCAAAAGGTTCCGCCGCTTCCCAGCGGATCCGAATCGGATCGGATTGATGGAGTGTTTTAATGCATTTGCGACCATTGTTGCCGGCGGCGGCGGCGCCTCGTCGACTGAGCAAATATTTGCTTTAATTTAAGCCTTGCATGTTGCAATGGCGATTGTTTGTCATTCGTTCGGGTTCGGGTCCGGGCCATATCCTTGTTGTCTGCTCTGCACGATGATGACAGCAGTCAATTATACAAGGCAAACAACATCAGCCAAAGACGAAAGTTGAATGCGCTCTTGGTCTTTGGGAGGAAGTGATTTAATGGGCTCTTGACCAGGCCCCCAAACAGTAAGTGGGTAAGTAGGTAGTAATATTACTGCATTTATGCAGTAATAAAGTTTATGGTTTATGGAGAGAAAATGGCTCTTTAAGTTTATGAAGAAAGTTAACTTAATTGAATCATTTTATTTTATATTACATGGGACCTATATAAAATTGTATAGTGGTAACTAGGGTTTAGTTTTTGATTAGAAGTTAATCTATACTCTATTGCAGAACGCCATATTTATTTTTAAGAAGTGATTATTAATTACTTAGGATTCTAATATTAGACTCTATAAAACGTGCTCAAAATAAATATTTACTATTTTAAAAACGTCTCTAAATAATATTTAAATTCCTAACTTTTAAACTCTCCTAAACTGTGTAGCTCACCCATCTTTTGGCAGGGCATCCATCGTGTATAACATGCACCACAAAATTCACACCCTCAGCAGTTAATTCGCAATTGTCGAACCTGACAGACACGACAATGATGATTACACCACGTAATCACCTGAGTGTCATCCTCCCATTACTGCAGCTCTTGGAACTGGGCATGGGAATAGTCAATCCCTCGAATGAGACAGCCAACACGGTGATCTATATGCTGCCGGCCAAGGATATTGGACCAGAGGTTTGGCGTGCCGGAGTCGATTGCCTGGATAGCTTTGCGCAGATCTTCTTCTATAGGAAACCCGCAGAGAGATTCACCAGAGCCTACAACCTTATGCTGACCCATGCCTTCAATCTCTCCAGTCCGGCTGACCAGATCCAGGAGGGTTTCAGCAAGCGTATCAATGAGGCAGCAACGGATCCTACGGAACCAAGGAGAGGGGAACTCTTCCAGATGAGAGTGGTCACCGATCATAGTCGCAATGAGCGGAGCAAGATTTTCGGTGCCCTGATCTACACGGATAACTATGTGATCATTGTGGATTCAGTTGAGCGTCTACTCAGCCTGCTGAGTCGCTTTGTGAGCAAGATGCGCTCCTGGAATCCGGGAGCCCGCTTTCTGGTGCTCTTCCACAATCCGCACATGCGTAATAGACCCTGGACCGTGGCCTCCCAGATCTTCAACGAACTGATGCACAGCTTCTATGTACATCGCGTGGCCCTGCTCTATGCCAACTCCTCCATGGACTACAATTTGCTGGTCAATGATTACTACAGCAATGTGGATTGCCGGATTTTAAGTGTCCAAAGTGTGGGTCAGTGTCACGATGGAGAGCTATACCCCAGTCCCAATGCCGTGCATGCTTCTATGTTGGATTATACGGCGGGATTTAGTCCTGCATATTGCACCTTCTATGTTTGTGCCTCGATCTCGGCACCGTTTGTAGAGGCCGACTGCGTAGCGGGTCTGGAGATGAGGATACTGGGGTTTATGAGGAATCGAATGCGGTTTAATGTGAGTTAAATCCCCAGAATAACAACAATGTTAAGCCTTCCTTTATCCTTCCAGGTAAATCAAACTTGCAGCACAGAGTCTCGTGGAGAGATAGACAATAATGGCGTATGGAATGGCTTACTAGGAAGGCTGACTGACAACGAATGCGACTTTGTTATTGGCGGCTTCTATCCGGACAACGAGGTGGCCGACTTCTTTTGGGGTTCCGATACCTATCTTCAGGATGCGCACACTTGGTACATAAAGGTGGCAGACCGCCGACCCGCCTGGCAGGCAATGGTCGGGATCTTTGAGCCCACCACCTGGACCGCATTCATCTTGGTGCAGCTGCTCAGCTGGTTTTCCTGGTTCGCCTTTGTCAAGTTGCTACCGGAACCAAGGTACTACCAACAGATTAGCCTGACGGCCATCAACAGCATGGCCGTGGCGATTGGCATTGCAGTTCAAGAACGTCCCATATGTGGGGCCACGCGGGTCTTCTTCGTGGCCCTCACCTTGTACGGCCTCAATGTGGTGGCCATCTATTCGTCCAAGATGATTGGAACGTTCCAGGATCCCGGCTACCTCCATCAACTGGACGAAATCACAGAAGTGGTGGAAGCTGGCATTCCCTATGGCGGTCATGAGGAGAGTCGTGATTGGTTCGAGAACGACGACGACATGTGGATCTTCAATGGTTACAACATCTCACCGGAGTTCACTCCGAAGACTAATAACCTGGAGGCCGTAAAGTGGGGTCATCGCTGCATCCTCAGTAATCGGATGTACACGTTGCAGAGTCCTCTGGCCGATGACATCTATGCGTTTGAACAGAATGTCTTCAGCAGTCCGCTGCAGATGATCATGAAGGCAGGGTTTCCCTTTCTCTTCGAGATGAACAGCATCATCCGGCTGATGCGAGATGTGGGCATCTTTCAAAAGATCGATGCCGATTTCCGTTACAACAACACGTACTTAAACAGGATCAACAAGATGAGGCCACACTTTGCAGACACTGCCATTGTACTGACCACGGAACATCTCAAGGGACCCTTTTTCATCCTGGTGGTGGGCATCTTTTGTGCCGGCCTCACGTTTCTCGGAGAGCTAATCACTCGGCATTGGCGCTGCCAGGTGGTCAGCAGGAAGCAGCAGGACAGGATTAAGCCAAGCAAAAAGAAGAAACGTGGCAAGGGTAAGGCTAAGAGAAAGGTTAAATGGAACAAGGGATTTCAGGGTGGCAATACCATCCAAGTTCAAGTGGCTCCAGTTGTACGATTTACGCCAGTCAAGCGACGCAAAGTTTTCTAGGGACAAACAAGAGCCAAGAGAGCCAAGGGAGAAACTAACCCAAACTAATGCCCCTTCTCCTCCTTCCTCCTGCCTGCCTGCCTGCCTGCCTGCCTGCTGCGATAAAAATTGACTCAATTCACATAAATTTACAATTGAGAGACACTGACTGTGACTCTGAGACTCCTCACTCCCAACTAGAGACTCCATCTTGCCCCCTTTGGTGCCCCGTCTGCGTCTGCGTCTGGGTGTTCTTCTGTCTGGTCCGTGGTCTGGTCTGGTCTAGTCTCCTCTGCTCAGTTCTGTTACTTTTCACGCGAAATACTTAAAATCAGAGACGAAATTCTATTTTTGCAACAATCACCACAGGCAAAGGCAGGGAGTCCGTCCGTGTCCCGTGCCGGCACGGTGCCGATGCCGATGCCGGTGCCGGTGCCTCTTCCTCCTCTGGGAGGCGGCTACACCCTAGCTGGTGGCTTGCTGCTTTCCGCAAATTGACAATCAGCTTCAGCTTTTCCCCAAAACTGAGAAAAGTCCAGAGCGAAAACAGAGATAAAGAACGAGTTAAGCAGATATTCCCATAAGTGGCGCATTCGCTGATTGCACAGGAAGTTACTGCAATGCCATGCAGTTTCGAGCCAAACAAATATCGCGCCAATATCAGATGGCACAAGTTTTGGAATTGAAAATATCACAAATGAAATTGGAAAGCATATATAGAGAGCCAGAGTGAAGATAGAAAGTTTTCTTGTCGAATTATGTGAGTTACAGGATATAAATTCGTAAATATCTCTCGGAATCCCATTTAATCGATAATGCTTTTTGGGAGAAAAATAAAGTAGTAAGCTTTCTTATTTTCAAATTGATTGCTATTCAGTTGAGTTGTCTAGATTATTATTTAGAAAATATAAGATATTGAAAAGATTAAACATATAAAATAGATGCTTATTAAAATGATTTAAAGGTGACAATTAAAACAAAGTGATGAGACGCAGCAATATCCAAGTTGATTAGTTTCTTTTTATTATATAGAACTAAAATTTTAGTCAGAAGCTTGTTAAAATATGAAGAAGTCATTTCCGACCCTATCGTTAAAACTTTCAAAAATTTAAAAAAATTTGAATTTTCTTAAACTTTAAATTAAGTATGCAGATTTATTAACCTAATGAAAACTAACACAGGAATACTTTTCGCATTAAATTTAAAGCTTTTATTACTTAGTTCTGAGTCTTTTAAAATTGGATGTATCTACAAAATTGTCATATAAATAAAGATCCAAGAATGCAAATATTTTAAGCTTAGTTAAAAAGTTAGTTTCCCTTTTTAAAATACATAAAATAAATAAGCAAATGTTCAAGTTTAAGCTTGCTTTTCCAAGGTGGAAAAGCGGAACATAGAAGACAAGTGCAGCAGGTTTTTCCTTTCCACTTATTTTCTGACAAATACAATCTGTAAGTAATCTGTATTATAACCTAGTCTCAACTTACTTCAAAGAAATGTAAGCGAAAACACTCATTCTAAAATAAACTTTACACCCCAAGTTAATTTTCTAAATACCAATTTAAAAATTCCTCTGGAAACCATATTTCATTTAAAAATGTACAAGAACAATTTGCAAATATAAGATTGTCGATAAATCAGTTTTCTTCTTTCAGAAAAATCGCATTAAATTATATTTTCCCCTTCGGGAACCTTCCCTAACCTTCCCCAACTTGTTAAAGCCATTTATCATATGTTTTCATTAATGGATAGATCTTCTTTTGCCCGACATTGAGTGCTTTTGAATTACTCATCCATTTTAATGAAAGTCTCATCCATCCATCTCGCATTTCACCCCTGTGATCCTGGCAAAGACTATAGCAATTATTTGATAGCTCTATCACTGATTATGGGAAGTGATTCACACCCAAATCAACCAAATAATAAAAACAATGCCCCGTCATAGAAAGACAAACTCAATTACTCACACACACCGAGAGCACTTAGTGTTTGTAATTTGAAAATTGCGCTTCCCTAATGTTGATTTATATTTTCCCCTTCTTATTTTGCTTTGGGGAAATTTTAGACTATTGAACTATGGTGCGTTGAGGAGACATGTGAGATGAGACATCGTCTTGATGGGATGCCGTCTGACTAAGAGACCTCAAATCGAGCGACGCCCCTGTGTCTGTTCTGTTCTGTTTGGTTCTGTCGATTCCGAGTCCCATTCCTATACTTTATTTTTTTTTTTCTGATTCCGATTCCAATTTCAGCGACTCACAATCAGTCTGCCACCGTCTCGACCGAGTATTTTCGTACTCTGTCAAGTGCTAAAAATATAGATACTATACCATTCGTAGGAGATCTTTTCTTGGCGGCGCAAAAAGCAAAAAGCATTTGCCGCGAATGATGACGACGTACTAGCATTGGGGGGGCATTGGTCATTGTGCGAAATTTTCGAGGCGCAGCAAGGTCTGCGTAGTTTTTGGTTAAAACCAAGCCGAAACACACACTGGGAATTATGCTCCGCATTTTATGGCAATTTGTTGTAGCCACTGTAGTTGCTGTTGTGGCTCCTTTGATGCGCTTACAAATAAATAGTTCCACGCCATAAAGCCGCACACAGGCTGAGAGAGATGGAGGCGGTGGAGGTGGAGGTGGCTAGTGGCTGGCCGGGCAATAAAAGTTGTTTACATCGCCTGAGCCTGCGGCGCACATAAAAATGCAACGCCAACAACAATCAAACAACAACAGCATCAACATATTAACAACATTTTGCCTTCATTCCACCATACAAAAATGGTGGGGTAGCAGGGCTTACCTAGTGCCCCTGAAGTGTGTATTTGACGGGGCTTCAAGTTTATTTAATAAATATAAGGTTAAGTAAATAAAGAATATATATTATTTAATTAGAAGAATATTAATGTATTTTTTCTAGTAAAACTAAAGCCTTTTTTCATAACAATCATAAAATTATTAACTAGATTTTATGGCGAAATCTGAAACTGAATAATAGGGGTCTTTATAGAAAAGACAAGTCCTCTGACAAAAATATAGCACTCAATATTATTTGTATTTATGATACGAATATTAGATATATTTCAATAATTGCTATCAACAAATATAGAATATAATACATTAAATGCATAAATATTTAACAATTTATTATTATTATTATTGCTCCTATAAATCAAACGGAATATCCATTAATCACTAGACATTTACATATTAAAATAACAAATATTGATTTATCTATCGACTTTGTTTTCAAACATCAATAAGAATTGGTTAATAAACAAGTTAACACATTCCTAAGCTAAATCAAGATGTTAAGAGTAATTGTTTTATATGGTTTAACTTCAACTATAAATGTTTAATATTTAATAAGTACTGTTAACTCAAAGTTCAAATTTATTCAAGGTAATTTTTGAAAATTGAATACCAAAAGAACTTGAGAAACTAAACCAGAACTGTATTCAAACTTCTGTAAGGTAAGAGGTATTTCCCCGTCGAGCATATTCCAAAATGCACAATCACATTTTTTACAGTTTTGGGGTTTATTTTGATTTGAGGCCACTGACTGGCCTGGACTGTCGGGCGAAACTAGCGAGCGGGTGCCACAGGTGGCAGCCAGTGGCATCCGCGTCCGCGTTGATCGAGCTCCGAATGCGAGTCGCGGAATTGAGCATTGGGAACTGCGAATCGGAAAATGGGAGTGGGAATGGGAATGGGAATGGGAACGGGAGCGCATATTGCGCCGTCGAATTAAGTCGTAAAATTAATATTTATGATTTGTTTGTGCAAAAATATTAACGCTTGCGCCTTGATTGGCAGGCCCAAGGCGGGGGAGCGACGGACTGTGACCGGTTGGAAGGATATGCACGAGGCCCACTTCGCCATAGGAATGGGTATCGGAATGGGGAATGGGCATTGCTGATTCTAGCGAAACGCTTAATGGCTGCACGCGCCATAAACGCGATATTTGCCATTGCCACTTTTTTGCTCAGCCAACTCGCTCCTTTTCACACGCTCAGCAAACTAGGGGAAACTCGAGCCAAACGTCACGTACTCTGGTTCTGGCTTTGTGGCACTGGATCTGGGATCTCGGATACCCAGATCACCACCGCAGTCTCCAAGCCGAGTCGGTGGTCACTTGAGCTCCACTTGGGCAATTGGAGCTCCCTCTCTCTCGCAGCATCATTTAAACATGTACACAGCATCATTTGTATATAGAGTACAGGAAAAACGAGAGGAAAAAACTGGGGGAAAAAGAACCGAAAAAAGGAGTTGACGACAAACCACGACATTAATTTGAATGTTTGCCGGCATTCTATGGCAAATGATCGAGTGTTATACGAGCCCCGGGCTTCCTTCCACTCTGCCCCACCCTGCAGCACGGTTGCACGTTCTGCACTGGAGATGATGGAAACTGAAATCCCGGGACCATCACAGCCTAAGCGAAAACGTGACGGGCCGCTTTTGACCCAGGCCCAAGCTGGTGGCCCCGCCGGAAACCAATGAAAAAGTAGAAGAGATGAAAAAATTCGGAATGTTACTCATACGCCACGTGCAACTCAAAGGGGAACGAACAGTGGCTCATTGTTGCCAAGGGAGCTTAAGTTAAATCGCGATATTTGAGCTATAGGAGATTTATAGGTTTTGAAAAAGGTTTTGTATTGAAATATTTGGTAAAGCCTAAATATTATATTTCAGGTATAATTAATGAGACTTTTATTTAAATAAAAATTAAGCCATGAAGTAATCCCACAAAAAAAGGTAAACTTATTTATAAACTTGCTGGAAGTATTTTAAAAACTTGAGGCTTCTATAAATGTTTTAATACATTTTCAATTGATAAATATATCTGAATAAGAAATATGGTAGAATAAACTTATCATTTTGCCAAATTAAACTTGATCTAAGCAAATCAAAGATTAAATTCAATACTTCTTAATAATTTTAGTAAAATTTCTAGCATTGTTTATATCTTCTTATGGTTATCTCCATTTCCTTAGGTATTAATGGATTAAGTTAAGTATTTC